CCCTGTGGTAGGGTGTTGGGCCCGTTGGAAAAAGTTTTTTTTTTTTTTTTTTTATTTAAAAAGCATATAAAAATTAAGCAGGCTGTTACATTCAAAGATTTTTTTTTTCTAATTAAGCTGTATATCTAGAACTTTAAAAAATATTTTTCTTTAAACTCAAAGTAAACCAAATATGATAGAAAAAGTATTAAAAGAAATTCAGGGACTCTGGTTTTTATTAATGTGACCTTGGATAAATTTCTTTGTTCCTTTTTGGTCAATAGCATTTTCTTACTTTTTTGACCTAAGAAATACTGTTTATATTTCTAGACCAAAGTATTTTTGTAATAATTTATTAAAAATGTTATCTTTACTATATGATATACATTCTGATGGTTTTCTCCTATTCTAACTTTTTGAAGTATCCTTGCACACACACACACACACACACACACACACACACACATATATAAGTTAATATTAACTGCATTGATTTTAAAACATGCTGAGAACATTGTTTCTTTTCCTGTAAACATGAGGATCTTGAATTTGTAGGGTTCTTTTAAGCTTAAAATGCTGTGACTTATATTTTTAACCTTGCTCTGTCTTATAATTATTTACTAGTTTTCTTACCTATGTAACTATAAAGAAAAGAAATACTAAGACCTTTGCTAAATTACAATACTTATACTCTTCTTTTCTTTTCTAAATTAAGGTTTGGGGTCTGCTTGATTGGTATTAGGAGGGAAGATAATAAAAACATTTTGCTGAATCCAGGTCCTCGATACACTATGAATTCTACAGACATATGTTTTTATATTAATATTACCAAAGAAGAGAATTCAGCATTTAAGAATCAAGATCAGCAAAGAAAAAACAATGTGTCAAAGTCATTTTATCATGGACCATCCAGATTACCTGTACATAGCATCATTGCCAGCATGGGTAGGTATAAAAAAGGTTTGGAAATACTACTTTTTTCTTAAAAAAGTAATAAATACATTTTTAATTTTATAAATATTCCAATGTCAAATTTCAAACGTGTGTATGTAATAAACTAGGCATACTTAGGTATACAGAGCAAAATTCCTAAGCAATTAGGTTGGTAAACAAGTAAGATATTATAAAAATACATACAATAATTATTTTGTGTTTCTGATTACACTAAAAGCACCTAACGCTTCTGTATTTGTCTTGTAAGTTCTCTATCCAGTTGTCAGTGGGGCCATTTCAAGTATTCTCCAATCATTTCGGTCAGAACTATCTTTCTATCTCCCATCTCACTCTCACTATGAACTTGACTCCTATGATATAGAAAAGAAAGGAAGGAAGAAGATTTGATTCAAAAGAATAAGAATTTTCTTAAAATTTTGCCACCAAACCACCTCAAACCAGCAAATATCTAATTTCTATGGCAAGAAAAATTTTTATTACTTAAAAATATTTTAAGTAATACATGTTCTTTCAGGCCAGCTCTATTATTGCACAGTAGTTAAGGGATTTGGATCTTACATGGCTGACTTCATAGTCCATCTCCACTCTCCTCTGTGTCACTGGACTCAGGGACCATCCTCACTGCATCCTCACTGAATATAACATCTTGACCATGTTCTTCCTGAAACCCTCTCTGTATTGTGCACATCCATTTTCCCAGAGGGGTCATGTCTGCTCGCATGGATTCTACTGTCCTCTAGAAACTGATGATCCGTGTGCCTAAGCCATCAGCATAAATTTGTCTTCACAATATCTTCAGCTGCCTACTGGTTATTTCTAACTGGCTGTCCTTCAGGAAACACCAACATAGCATATTCAAGTTCAACCAATCACTCTGCCCTTTTTCAACATCATTTCTGGTTTTTCTTTTTCTTTTTTTTTTTTAACTTAAAGCTAGATAAAACTTGTATCCTTCATTTTGTAAACTCATAGTTCTAACCCTCACCATCGTCTCCTCTCATACCTCATAAGTCACCAAATTCTATTAAATCCAGAAAAGATGTCAAACGGGAAGGGAGATGTACGGGTCTAGATCCCAGGAGACAGATGTATCTGAAAAACTAAATGTTGGATTCCGGAGCTTAGGTATTTAAAGCCATTAGACTGAACATTGAGATGACTGAAGAAATGAGAACTGACAGGAAAAGGAATACATCAAAGGACAGACTTCTGTAGCCTACCAACATGAAGTATCAGGGAGATGGGAAAAAGTCGGCAGAGACCTCCCTGCAGAGTGCTAGCTTGGAGGACCCAGTTTTTATTTGGGAAAAGGAAGCCTCAAGGAAGAGCTTGTTTCTGTAATATAAACCACTTTTTCTATTGGGTCTTGCCTGTTGAAATCTAACTTGAGATCGTATCCCAAGCCTAACCTGATGCCAGACATCAAGGTTGGCAAAATAACTGAGAAGTACTCACAAGTTCAATTCTTGTGTGCACATCCCTTTTAAGAAGATCACCTGTCTTAGGTAGGGAAATTGTAAAGAAGTTGTTGGTTGGGATATGGAGTTAGGGAGGAAGTGGCATACAGATCACTTAGGAACAGAAGGGAATTTAATCTACAACATAAAAGTAAGTATTAGTTTTACATAAAGGGAAATACATCTGTTTCTTTGTAAGCAAAACTGAGGAAAGAAAAGTTTCCTGAAGTTCTCAATTTTGCTTGCCTTAAGAGAGGCACTTGAAAAAGTTCTGTGATAAGTTCTCTTTTCTCCCCAAAGTAGACACCATGGTCAGCTGCAGAGAGGCAAAGCATGAATTTGAGTATGAAGTATTAAGTACAATACTTAAGTATATTAAATATCAAGTATGAATTTTATATTAAGTATGAATTTGAATTCACAAACATGGATAGAAATCATATTATATGGCTTTCCTTCATTTTTATAAATTAAATTTATAAAATTAAAATGAGTCAAATCTACTCACCAGCTTAATCTCATAACCCCTAGAAACCCATCTCCCCACCAAACGTAGGCTAGATTATGCATTAACTGTATTTATGCTACCAAAAATTGGAAAGCGAGAAGCCATCTCTAGTTTCTGATGGCCACCATGATTACCTTTGCTTGGATACTAGAACTGCTGAGTGCTTGTCCCTGTGTTTTTGGGGACCAGAGCTTTTTCAGATAGACTCATATCTCCTTGTAGAAGACTCCACTGACTACAGGCTACCAACCTCCTTTATTCTTTATCCACAGTACAGAGAATATTGTATATATGAAGAAATCCCAGCCTCAGAAACTTACTCATCAATTTTGAGTCTTGTCTCGACCAACCTCACACTCAGAAGCATTCTTTCTATCCTTTCCTTTATAATTTGTAATCTCCTTCAAAAAATTGTTAGAAATTAATTGCTGAGCTCTTTTTATGCTATGAGAAAAGCGATGATAAAATCCATTAGTGTTTTTTCCACCTTAAAACTCATGCTATTATAGTGAGGAAACCATTAGTGTTTTTTCCACCTTAAAACTCATGTTATTATAGTGAGGAAGAAGTTGAAAGGTCAGAATTTGAAGGAAAGAGAATCTTAAATAGTTGCTTCCAAGAATGGAACAAAGAAATGATGGAGGACTTTGATAGGATGACCAGGTCTGCTTGTGTGTATTAATGAAGTGAGTCATAATGGTATGATGGCCTTCATTGATTAGGTTTTATTTTCCCTCCAGGGAGGCGACTTATTTTGCATTAATTGATGTTTAAATTAATTTCAAAATTCTAATTAAAATTGCAAAGGGTTAGGCCAGGCCCATGACCTAGTGGTTAAAAGTACATGAATGTGCGTGCCACAAATCCCAACAGGATGGAGAACGGAGAAGGGATTGCAGTGTGACCACACTCCACTGGGGAGTGCTTTTTCTCTCGCTCTTTTTCCTTCTCTGTCACTCTGGCAAGTACACATGCCCTCTGACAAACATTTTTAAAAATTACAAAGTTAATTTCTTCCACTTATTTATTCCTTGTGTACCACAAGTATTCAACATTCTTAAGTTAGTTGGATTTGTTATTCTTACTGCCTCCAGTAAGTTGCTTTCATGACCTGTGTGTTTCCTATTGTCTTTCGGGTAAAAAGTCCAGTCTCTTAATTTCATAATGGCTTTCTTTCCCACCTATGAAAACTCCATTCCCCCACTTCTCCCTAATGCCACCGTTTGCCATTCTATTCTCTTATGTGTTTGTGTGCTATTTTATGATTATCTGAAATAACCCTATTAGCTTATTTGTCTAGTTGGGTATTTTACAGATACAGTTCATATGTGTAAGAACCTTGTTCATCTCCTCCACATATCTCAGGTGCCTAGAATATTGTTCCCTGAATGTGGCATTTGTGACATCAAGAAATATTCATTTAGTAAATAAAATATTAGCGGTTCTAATATTAAAATCAAATTAAATGATCACAAATCAGTTAAAAAATAGCTCTATAGAAAGGAAGAGAGAAGACACAGTGAGAAATACACAAAATAAAAATAGCCAAAAAAATTCCAAATTTAAGAAAACAAATTGAAACAGCAGGGTATGCTTTTTCACTTAAGTTCCTACATATGTCAGGATTTTGTAAATCTCAAGTTTTGTAATATAATGCAACACTTTGCAAATATACTTTTGTATAAATATGTACATAATTTCTTCCTTTTTTTTTTTTTTTTTTTTTTATTGCCAGAGAGCTGAGCTCACAAAAAAGAGAAGAAACAGAGGGTAAGAGCAAGAGAAAGCACCCCCTAATGGGCTGTGTTTACACCACATCCCTTCTCCTCCATTCCTTCATCCTACTGGGACTTAGGGGACATGCACACATGCACACACAAACACATACACCTCTGCCTGGCAAATGCCTAGCATGTTTTTTAAGCCACCAGGGTGAAGATTTGAACTCTGCAGTCTGCCATGTGGGATCTGGCTCCCTTAACCATTAGGCCACAGGGCCAGCCTTCTTCAAAACTTTTAATAGTAGATACCACAGGTTTTACCTAATATGATCCTGAAGACAAACCACAATCAAAGTGATAGCTACTATCTCTGATGAATATAGAGGCAAAAATTCTCAACAGGGTACTAGCAAATCCAACTACACATAAAAAATATTATATGCCACGCATAAGTAGACTTTATTCCAGAAATACAAGGGTGGTTGAACATATGCAAAACCATTGTTAAAAGAAAAATAAATCAGCCAATGTAATAGAGTTTTAATAGAGCAAAGCTTAACACAATTTAAATCAGGCAGTTTGGACTTTGGAAATCTCCGGCCAGTCTCATGGTCAACTCCGCATTTAGGTCAGCGGAACAGGAAAGTGTCATACAAAAACATAAGTGAGGGAGTGAGGTAGAGAAATCATTCGTTACATTCTGAAGTTTGTCTGCATTAACATGGTTTAAAAGGTGGGGTGCCTGTGATTGAAGCCTAGCTGCTGTGATTGGTTGTAATCTAGCAACCAGCTCAGAAAAACAGCCAAACATGTACGCTTTCAGCTTATCGACAGGAAACAAAGTGTGGAAGTACAGCAGCTGTTTTAGGCCAAAACAGTTTAATTTAACACCATAAATGTAATACACCATAATAACAGAAAGATAAAAACCATATGATCATATCAACTGATGCAGAAAAAGCATGTGATAAAATACAACATCCCTTCATGATTAAGAGTCTCGCAAAAATTGGCATAAAAGGGATAGTTCTCAACACAATAAAATCCATATATGAAAAAAATCCATAGCTAACATCATACTGAACAGAGAAAAGCTGAAAGCTTATCTGCTAAAAACAGGAACAAGACAGGGCTGTCTACTTTCTTCACTTCTTTTCAATATAGCATAGGAAATCCTAGCCAATGCAATCCAACAAAAGACTAGAATAAAAGGTATTTGAATAGGGA